AGTGGGGGGGGGGGGGGGATGCAAGCCCAAGACCAGATCTTCTTCGATCATTCATGAACTCGGTCAGATGGAGATTACAAAGAGGCAGACTATAAAGAACTCTCATTATGCTGCAACTCTGCTCAGTGGAAGAGGCGAGAGAGAGGTTATACCAAAAAACGATCATATAGTTGCCTCACTCTTGCGTTTTCTCGCTATCTTCACGCTGAAAATTTGTTCTCCACCGCTCTCGGCAGATGCCTGGGCAAGGCTCCAAGCGGTAAGGCCAAGCACGGCCGTCGGTGAACGGGTCCGACAGAGCTCGAAGATCTGCAAAGGCATCGGTTCCCTGGCTTTGGATCTCGCATTCCAACATTCAGCCGCCGAATAAGACGACTAACGAGACATTCCAACAATAACAGCGCGGTGAAGTCCTGAGAATAATTATTCAAGAATACCCGTTGTGCAAGTGCCGAACAACACGGCCAGCAAGACGCAGCAAGGTGATATGTCAAAGAGTGAGCCAAGCAGCATCAGAGAACTTAGGGTAAGAAGCACGCCCGAGTCAGTGATATCCCCTCACAGCAAGCGAGGAAGTGTTTCCCCACCCTTTGGCTGCTTCTTTATCCCAGTTGGGGAGGAAGATCGAGCGGCGCCCGAAATAATAGCGCTTCTCCCCATCGCCGCATCACGATGCCCCTGTTTCCGCCTACAACTGACTGATAACGGGCACGGCCAGCCGATGCAAGCGTATCGCAGAGCACCACGTAATGACGAGCTGACGAGTGCGTTCTCCCTCTCTGCACTCTCCGCATACCCAAACCCGCCACGATCAGCGACGTCGAGAGCAGTGAGGATACCCAAGGCAGCCGCGGCGCTCGTCCGGTGTCGTATGTATGCTGATGCTTGCTAGCGAAGAAGCGCCCGAATGTGGAAGGGCGCCCGCTGACCCGACCACCTGGCGTAGGCTGTGCACCGGTGCTCGGCCGATGCTCGCACCGGCATGCGCTGTCATTTGGTGTGCCCGATCGGTCCTACGGTCGCCGGCGGTGAGCGGGCGGTTGCCGCAGGTGCACAATGGGTAGAACGAGTAGGATGAACGTCCGTGTGCTGGATACAACACATAGATCACAGTGCGGTGACGGCCAAGTCGGGTGAACAGTTGTGTGCTTGCAAATAGATTTGGGCGAATAGAGGAAATGAGGATTTGAAATCACCGAAGAATGAGACAATGAGATCAGCGGTCGGGAGAAAGATTCTCGTTCGCAACGACTACCGAGGTTGCTAAAGAGAGGCTCGGCGGGTTACGCCATTAGCACACGGCGAAGAAGACTTCCCGCTGGGTTCGGTGGTTCCTCAAACGTGGACTTGCCGGACCAATGATAGTGGAGAGAGAGATCACACGAAGGGAATTAATGGGAGGAAGAAGAAGGATCGGCAACCGTTTGTGCCTCCCAGGGTAACCCGGTCGTGCTGGCCGACAGAGTGCCGACGAACCCGGTCTACGGTGTACGTGGCAAGCTCTGAACCAAAGGTAGGAGACGTACGTCAACGAAGTTGTGCCAGCAGGATGCCAATATCCACGACGTGCCTTCTGGCGGCAAGGGCGGAAAGTGTTCCGACCAAAAGACGACTGTATACAAACCATAGACAACGGAACCGGGGGCTTGGAATGACGATCCTTGTGTAGGGGAAGGCAGTTCTCAGGATTACTCGGGCAGAAGCGCAGTAAGGGGAAGAACAAGGGTCGCCCCTGAGGGTTTGGACCAGTATTTCCCTAATCTGAACGTGCCGGGACGCCGGACCTGAACCTGATATTGAATGATCATATGTTAGCATTATCAATGTCAGGGTTGTAGTGACAAGCGAGTGTATACGAGAGCGGAGGGAGATTGGGTTCTCCTTTCGGGGAGATCATATGAGGAAAGAGGCCATATCGCGGGGTATTGACTGACCCGAGCTCCTGTTTGAGCAGTCGTGGAGGGGGAGGAGAACCAAGAGGGGCTGCTCCGGTCCACCGGTGTGGTCAGTCAGGGATCTTGCGGCGACGGGAGATCCTGGGGATCACGAGTGCTGTCTGTACTCGACCCGTTTGGGGGGTTTACGCAATGATACGAGGGGTGCGTTAGTGTATGATTACGTCCCGGGTCAGATTTCGGGTTGGAAGTGAATAGGATGAGAGCACATGGTACCGAGTTGATGGCGTCGGTTGGAAATCCGACGCTTCCTGAAGCAGGAGAATGCGGGGATAGGCTTGCTGGGTTTGTTACGTGCGTGCCGGATGGGTTCCGGATTGGTTTATTGTTTTGAGGTAATTTGGGTGATGAGACGCGTTGCTTGATCCGGAGGCAGGAGGCTGGCGACGGTCGTCAGCGTCAGTCATGAGAAACATCGGACTGAGGCGCTTGTTAATAGGTGAACACTATTCGTTAGACAGTCCAGGGGGGGTTAGATTAAGGGAATGGAAGGATGAGAGAAATTCCCGATGCGCCCGTTCAGTGATGGTTGCTGTGAACAACGGACGGGATGAGGTGTCCTGTGCGCCTGTCGCGCATGTGCAGGGTATGCGGTCATCGCTGTGCCAATTGACACGGACGAAGAGTGGAGCCTCCGAACGGAAGTGATATCTGCCGATGAAGGCAACCATAGCTGGTAATGGGTGATATTCTGTGACTTGGTGAATACACAATTATCGCATTAATGAGGTGACGTGGTGTGGTGTTGAGGTGAGCAGAGAAGAGATGATATGGGTGCGATGGGTTCGGAGATGATGATGTCAGTGGTGAGAAGATGCGGTGTATTCCGGGGCGCTTGCAATCCCGATGTGTGTGCGGTGATGAGCGGTGTTTATTGTATATTCCCATGGAATAATCAACCATTATTATTGTAACCATCTGTCCAAAACTTGCGGGGTGTGTCTAGGATGGTGCATACGCATATGGGGGGATAGGGCGAATACGGGGAGATGTTCAGGGGTACGGGTGTGCTGCATGTGGATTGACCAATAAGGGAAGAGATTAGCGAGAGTCGGAGAATGAAAAAGTTTATGTTTTGATTCCCAGTAGAATGCCTCCGTGTAATGCCCTTAAATATTTGTATCCGTGTAGGTCAATTCCGTGTGGGCGCGTCTTTATGGATCATCCCACTCTTCTCATCCCTTCTCTCACCTTCACCACCCTCTTCTCTTCAGCCGCATCTCTTCCTTCCCTATATTAACTCAAGGGGTTCATCCCCCCTTGGACTTCTCCTCCTTCTCGACATCTCCCTCCATCCTCTCGCACCGACCACCATCTCCCTCCTCGCCATCCCCCCCCGCAAGAAGCGCAACCTACAACAGCAGTGAACGCCTCTCCCTCTCCCATCATTCCCCTCCAACTCCCTCAAGTTCACGATGCTCATCAGCTGTAGTAGTCAATAACTATCGGCGTCTTCGTCGTTAGACGCAGCTACGGCTACTACCTCAGGATATTCAGCTTCTCAGGCTTACTCCTACTTTGTCCATTCCCCCTCTACAACCTCCCATTCTCCGTGGAACATACCCGCTCTGGGACCATATCCCAAAGCACCACCCCGGATTTCTATAGCCTATACGTCAAGTGAAACGACGACCCCGAACCACGATCAAGAAATGTCACAGTCTGCCCTTTCCCCCCATCACAGGTACCACCACCCGCCTATGGCGGGTCTGCGTCCCTGCCTCAAGCCTGCTACTCCCTCCCCAGTCGCATCAATGCCTTCTTCTCCCTGCTCTACTCCCGGACTGCACCAGCGCGTCGTGCACTTTCCCGCTCCTGCAAATCTGCATCGCGTTCACCCAGCCCACAGCGGCCTGGAATACGATCGTACCCCTATTGCGCCACCATCCGAGTCCGAACGGGCCTGTGCAATGCCCGCACGAGGCTGTCCAGGGAAGACCTACGAATCTGCGGCGATAGACGGTCGTTTTGTTCGCCCTTCAGCCTCTGCCCTCCAGGGAGCGCCACCTCCGCTCACCTTCTCTGGTTCCAGCAGCGAGGAGAGCGACGAGGCTTATTCATACATGCATGAACACGACCCGGTACCCGCATACACCTTCAGCGCGTCTCCGCGTCCGCTCGAAATGCAATTCCTTCCCCATGCGCCATCCAAGCGCCGGTCCAACAGCCCCGCACGTACGGAAGAGGACCGCAGGAAGGAGTTACCGAAGAAGAGAGTTGCATGCAAAGCCCCGGGTGCGCAGTGGTGTGAATGGAACGCAGACGACGACGGTGGCTGCCTCGGTGGTTTCTAACGCGTCCCCTGTTTTGTCCTCAAAATTGCTGGCGAAGGACCTTGCACGCGACCTTACGACATCGACCCCCTTCCCGGCTCATTGTTTGCTGTTGTTTGTTGTCCTGTCGGCGGCGGCTCTCTCCCTATATCATATTTCCCTCTCGTGGCTTCCCCGTTGCACTTTCATCTGAACTCTCTGTATCCCCAGCGTCATGTCCCTCATCGTTCACATCCCACGCATGCTAAGGACCACGGTCCTCATTACCCGCGTGTGGAGCCCTTGCCCTTAGAGGTGCTCCATACGCACCAGTCGCATTCTTTCACCTATGGCTGTATAGCTCGATAGTTGAACCAATTATATCAGTTACTACTACTTTCGTGTGCAGTCCCAAATGGGCTGATGCGCTGCAGCAATCTGGGGTGTTGGGTATATAGAGCATGAACAACAGATGGGTGTGTCGAAGCGCACCGGCACGGACCGCCTAAAGGTCAAGCGACCTGACCCGAAAACAGCAAGCGCTGTCAAAAAGTGTAATTCTTTCTCACACACTCAACTCTCTTTATGCTTTGTTGTCCTTATGCTGAGCGGTTGCGGTTACTAATCTGAAATTTTGTCCAGTCCCGAGGAATGCGGAACTAGTCAGCCGCCTGTTGCAGTTACTATGCGAGCGTAATGGATCAGACTGCGCAGGATAGTGTAATCGGGAGAGTCGTGCGAGTCCGGCCCTGAAGAGGGCTGTACTGCCAGCCACCCTGGTCTGTGCGTGCAACACATCGGCCCATCGGCCGTGTCGAGACTCGCTTCCCAACAGAGGGAGATAGTCCGCAATTCCGGCGCACGGACCACTTCAACTTAAAAAGTGGCAGTGCCCTTCTGCCTCCGTGTAGCATTTGACTCCGTCGAGTTGCCATCTTTGGCCACCACCAGTGCATCACGCGAAAAAAGTGCAAGCGTGCACCAAAGTCTCTAACGCCCGTCGTTCTGCGCTATTTTCCCTTTTCTCTTGGGCTTCGAGGGACTCTTGTGCGCTATTTTGACAACGAGGAGGGGAAGAAGGAGATAACAGGAGATTAGGAACGATAGAACGAAAGAAAGAAAAGATATGGACCCGTCAAAGTTGGCAAAGTTGCAGGCGGCAGCGGCCAGTAACAGGATCGGTGCGTGACTTTGCATTGGAGAAGGGGATGATGCTGATGGGAATCTTGGCTTGGTTTTGATTTGGTGTTGGTTGGGTTCTGACTCTGTGGATGGATGGTTTTTGGGCGCTTGTGTGATGCTACAATGTTGCGATGTTGGATGTTGGGTTGGGATACGATTACGATTATCGACGCACGTGATCCCTTCTACCTCCTTTCTATGACATCCAGGTGGCAAGGGCACCGTCCGACGCAAGGTCGTGCGCAAGCCGGGAAAGAACTCGGCTCAAGACGACAAGAAGCTCCAGGGTGCACTCAAGAAACTCGGTGTGCAGCCTATTGCCGGTGTCGAGGAGGTAAACATGTTCAAGGAGGATGGGAACGTCCTCCATTTCTCTGCTCCAAAAGGTGCGTTCGGGCTGTATTACGCGGTGCGAGCGATAGCTGATTTGATGTGATTCACGTAGTCCACGCCGCCGTCCCGGCTAACACGTTCGCCATCTACGGCGTTGGGCAAACAAAAGAGCTTACCGAGCTCGTGCCCGGGATTCTTAACCAACTGGGACCCGACTCCCTCGCCAGCCTGCGCAAGCTCGCCGAGTCTTATCAGCAGATCCAGGCGCAGCAGGCTGCGGGCGCGAAGGATAAGGAGGAAGACGATGATGATGTACCTGATTTGGTGGAGAATTTCGATGTGGAGGAGGATAAGCCCCAGCTGGAGGAGCTCGAGTAGGCTGCACTGGGCGGCGGTGGCTGCAAGCGTTGGCAAGGTCGGTCAGAGTGACCATCCCCACGCCCTCGTTGTACCGCTGGTGTTCAGGCAATAACCGTGCTCTGTCGGGGTGCTCCCCAATGTTATCCATGCATGTGTAATACGACCGTTGTCAGGTGTCGATTCAGCTCGGTGTGCCCGTTTGTTTGTGAGGATTTCCCTGCTCAAGTCCCACACACATATCGTATCGGCGGAAATTGTAAGTCTTAGTGCATTCAATCTTTCCGTACGCTTCTGATAAAAGATTTTCGAAGAATTCAAGTAGCGCATGTTACAAGTGTCAAATCCGAAGCGAAGCTTTCGAAACATGAAGAACCTGCAACCTCTTCCTGCCCGACTTCAACGGTATCACGTGAGTAAATCGTTCGCGAATTCGTCGGCATCCGTTGCCCTCCCTGTGCTACTGACTCTCTGTCCACCGTTGACGCTGGGGGATGCCGACCAGGGATAGCACAGCTCGAAGGTGCGATGAGCATTGTCGGATTTGAGGCTGTTATCACACTATCCGGTATTCTCCCAATTGATGACTCACGGAACCGCAGTTTTAATTCTCGTCCATGAGGCAGCTGCACATGCACAAGGGGCCAAAACACTGCGAGACGATCGGCGAAGGGGACAAGACTGAATTGTCGATCGACCCTTACAAAGTGGTCCGATCGCCGAAACCAGTTGAATTCCACCTCCAAACCTGATTCATACAGACAGAAGCCTTCTTGTATTAAGCACTCGGTAAATTATAATCCGCATACAATACTGTATCCTGAGAATGGTGGTATGCGTTGTTTCAAGGAGCTCCAACAGTTGCTATAATGACATTGCCCACACCACCGCCGAGCTCGCGATCGAATCTGTACAATATCTCGTCTCTCGGACTACCATGGTATGTTCTATCCCTGGCGTGAGGTCTTGGTGTGACAGGGGGCATGAATGACAGACCTTCCCATCCCATGATACGAATCTTCCGCACATACTAGCAACACTGGCCGAGAATACGATATTCTATTGGGTGACATAAATCAGCGGGTGGGCACTTCCGATGCATGTCAAGCTGACCTGTAAAATACCTTGTGCGCTTTGATCAGATGTTATGTACGGTGCTTGGGGTTGGCGAGGGTCAGGTCGCACTTCCTTCGTTACGACACCTGGGTGGACGGCGATGAACTTGACAATGTTATCCTTCACCTGCTTCTGGAAGATGGTCGTGGCTGAATGCCACAATTGAGTTATGTGATCGGCGAAGGTATGCAGTCGCGTACCCATATTTAGACCGGCCTTGCTGACGGAATATGCGACTTGTCGTCCAGGGTTCATCTCCATGCTGGCCAGTATGGAGGAAATGTTGATCACCAAGCCTCCCGCTCTTTCAAGCAAGGGGAGAAATGATTGTATGAGAAGTATTGGCCCCAATGTGTTGGTCTTGAACGCTTGTATGAAGTCACCTGGGGGCACGTATGCTGCTGGACTCATCGTTTCTGGTGTAAACCCGGCATTGTTGATAAGCACGGATAATGATTTTGCGCGTGAGGATACTATCCGTGCAGCATTCTGAGGGGGGAATGTCAACGACTCAGCGAGCAACTTGCGGTTCCGAACAGACCTGAATGCTCCCATCGTCATCCATATCCAGAGGTATTACGATAACACGCTTATCGCTTTGCGCAATCGTCCGCAGTTCGGTCGCAGTAGCAATATTCCGAACACCAGCAAATATGAGCATTGTTGTGTCACAGGCAAGAAGAGCTTTCACAAAGGACATTCCAATACCGCGCCCAGCGCCGGTAATCAGATACGTCAGAGACATGCTGCCCGGAGAATGGGAGAAAAGGAGCGGGGGTTAAGGGGTGGGACGTTACCTGGGCATATCGTGACTACCGCCACCTTTAAGTAAGGGGACAACGCTATATCGAATTGCTGGGACATGCAGCAAAAACTCAGAAGCCGAAGGGCGCTAATCAGTTACGGTCCTTACTCGGCTCGCCGTCCGGGTGTGGGCACTTGTACAGGGCCGACTCCAACTGACCAATCGCCGGCTGCAAGCCATATAGTCCCCGAACGCGAAACTGTACCGTTTCACATGGAAGGGTCTTTTAACCGGACAGAATTGCAATAAATTGCATGATTGTCATGGTGCCAGTGTAATGCCATACTTAGCATATTTTGGTGTAGTAACATAGTAACCCCAAAATATCAAAACCTCTCATGCCTTCGCATCACCGGTGATCACGGCCATGGTTGTGCCAGCAGCCTTTGCCCGCTTGCGCATCATCTCTGTTGACTTGGCACCGCGGAGACCACCGCCCCAATGCCTACGCTGGTCCTCGTACTTATCAGTGAAGTTCGCCTTAGCGGCTGAGACCAGGGTAGCGAACTCCTTCTGATCCTCGCTCCGAACCTCCTCAATGACAACGACAGCGGCGGTCTTCTTGTGAACGAGGGTGCCGAGACGGGACTTCTCCTTCACGATGACGTAGGGGACACCCATCTTGCGGCAGAGAGCGGGGAGGAAGACGACGAGTTCAATAGGGTCGACATTGTCGGCAATGACAACGAGAGATGCCTTCTTGGCCTCGATGAGGGCAACGCAGTGGTTCAGACCGTACTTGAGGAAGAGGGGCTTCTTGTCGGCAGACTGCATTACATTAGGCATAAAGTAACAGGCAGCAGCGTAATTGAACACACCTTCTCTTCCTTCTTTCCAGCAGCAGCATCCTCAGCAAGTTTCAGCAGGCGGGCAGCCTTCTCGATCTTGCTCTCCGGGCGGTACTTGTGCATCAGCTTGAAGAGTTGAGTAGCGGTGTTCTTATCGAGCGTGTGGGCGAACTGAGCAATTGCGGGGGGAACCTTCAAGCGTTGGTGAAGGATAACCTTCTGGCGCTGGAGGCGAACATATTCGGGCCACTTGACGAAACGGGTAAGGTCGCGGGTGGGTTGGATGTCCTGACCTGCAATAGTGTTAGCATCACAAATAGGCGGGTACGGGTAACAATGACGCACCGATACCAAAGTTCTTCGGGCGGGATTCAAAGAGAGGGTTCTTCTGGGCCTTGACCGGCTTGCCACCCTTGGGGTAGGGAGCAGCGGCGGGCTTCTTGCCGGAACCGGGTTTGTTGGCCTTAGGCTGGTCATTGAGAAAACAAAGCAAAGTCAGCGCCTGGTGCAAAAGTCTTCAAGAGGGGAAGGGCCCGCTCGGGAGACAATGCAAGACGAGAGGAGATGCTCTGCACTCTAGCGCCATGCACCTTGCGGTACATGGCCCAGCAGTATCATGATAGCTTCATCGCGATGGCTCTTAAACGCAAATCTTCACTCGATGGCAAAGACGTTGCAGAGACCGTCGCTCCGCGCAAACTTTAAGCAGTCGACAGTAGTTGTCAAAGCATTACTCCTCGCCAAAAAGGCAACCAGCGAGCCCAAAGAGAGCTCTTACCATTTTGAAGGGTATGGGAGAAAGTAAAAGTCGAAAGTGTCGGTAAGAGGAGATCAACGACGAGCAGGCAAGTCGAGAGGACGACGACCAAGTCGACCAAGTCGAAACGGAAGCAAATCGTTCGTCGATGGTCTGTGCGTGAGGGCCTCACGTGAATTGCGGAGGCATCTGGGACGAATAAAAAGCATGCACATGACCAACGCGACGACGCGTCCTTCATTTGCCCCGTTACGTTACGTTGGTACTGAGTGTCTGCTTATCCATCAACGAACTGCGTGTATCGTCCTATTATGCCAGCCAAGGCGCGTGGTCTGAGCTGAATACTCATACTTCTCTGGGATTATATCTCTGTACAGCGTCTTGTCTCCCCTCAGCTCGGTGTGTGGGCTCATCTAGCTGGAGCACGCAAGAAGAGGCGGATCGCCGCCAAACACCTTGAAGAGCAGGCTGCCGCCAGCGATTTAGAAGCAGAGAAACTGGACGCGCCAATCAAGCCTAACCCCAAGCAATACGTGGGGTGTACGTCTCTCCGTGCAGCATATATGCGCTGACTTTAGGAAGACTCTTGCCTCCCACAGCCGACCGGGTCGGTTTGCATTAGCTCTACATGCTGCTTCTCATCCTGAAGACGACAAAGTGGCTTCTGGCATGGCACTTGCTTGTATCTATGGTACCGGATGGTTGACTGGCATCTGGAACAGGATCCCATTCTCCCATTGATCCTGTCATGCTTCCTCCTTCTCCTGATTCTGATCACCCTGCCGTCGATACGTCTGATGAGTATGAGTATTCTGAGGGCAGCGATGGCACTGTGAATGAGCTTAAAGGATGGGAAGAGCTAGACTCAACCCCAAAGCTACTGGGGTCAACAAGTTCGCAGTCTGAGCCCAATGAACGTTCACAAGCCGACCTCAAGCAACGCTGGGAAGGAGGTATTAGGGTCGAGACATTCATTGGAGGGGAAGGAGAATTGCGGACTGTATATGTATGTATTCAGGAGCATAGGAGTTTGTATGTACACTGATACACTCTTTTCAGGGATGTCGTTCAGTCGAAGAGGCCGAGAAGTCAATCAAGGTGGCAGAGCTGCTGTCACCCTTGACTCTCTCTCTGATCTGCTCCAGGATTGGCCGAAGCCGGATAAGAAACGCATATACAATGCCCGTGTCTTTGTCGTTGAGCACGATGAGAAGACGAACCAGTTCTCGGAGAGCATGGTCGGCATTGTCTTTCCCTCAAGGTTTGGGCGCACGCCAAGTGGATCAAAGCTATATGTGTATCCGCCTGAAGATCGTGCTGCAGAAGAGGTTGCGTGGCGAGAATTGCTAGAATGACTCATTATGGAAAGAAAATGCCCAAAGGTGGAAAGAATACCTTGAGACGCCCGTTCACTGGTGTCGGTATAGCAAACCATAACCTGTACCGACTGAGGAAAATAAAGTTAATCATACGTCACACATTGCGTCATCTGCTGGTCAAAATTCGTATAAGTATCAAGCGGGAAAACATCCTCATACAGGTCTTTTTCCCTTCTTCCCACCGCCTACATCACTAGCAGCCATGCCCTCCACGGTCAGCTTACCATTACTTCACTTCTCATACAATTCCTGACGAACTTTGTAGAAGCGCCTTCTCTCTGACTCCGAACCGCATACCGAGCATGCGCCCTCCCAGGCGAAAAAGCCTCGCGTGTCGAGCGAAGTGGCGGAGCACATTGTAACCTAAATCCCCGTACACGGCATATATGCGCCTTTCGTGACATGTTGCAGGTCGATCAAGCGAAGCAGGGACACGCGAAGCGCACTAGCACTAAGGACCGCAATGCTTTAGCGGAAATTACCAATGAGGGCGCGACTGTCAAAGGCACGCCAGCTGAATCTGAGCCACCACGACCTGTTTGACATACGGCATACACAGATGCTCAAGTCGTGGAAGCTCCGCCTATCAAGAACGCCGTTGCCGTGCCTGAACAGGCAGCAAAAGGACCTAATGACAAGTCTGAGCCTGCACCTCAGAAGGTCCGTATTCAGTATCGTATCGGGAAAGAGCTTTATGGGAGCTGTGGAGCAGGAGACTCGCCAAGAGAGCTTTGAGCAAAGGCACCTCCGGATGGCCTGGGAAACGAACGGGGTGGTTCTAGACTGCACTATGGGCATGGATGGACCACTCCGTTCGTTGCGGGTACGTTGATCGGTATTCGTGCAAGAGCGCAAGTGACATGTCGACAATAGGGTATTCGTTCTGTCGAAGCAGCCCAGCAGGTCGTCAAGGCGGGTCTCCACTCTGCCCAGTCTTCGGTAGCTTTCTGATGCCATCCAGGAGTGGCCTCGCTTGGACAAAGCTCAGATTCTGAATTGCCTTGTCCTCACCATCCATCAGGATCCCGTTACTTCGCTCTTTAGGGAAGAGTTTGTGGGCTGGGTCGTCCCCCGCAAGGGCGCCCGTGGCACGAGAGGTGCCACATTGGACGTGACACCTCTGGATAAAAGAGCTATGATGGGAGCGCGCTGGAAAGCTTACGTCGAGCGCGATCGATTGTAACCACGACCCAGTCGATCGAGCTTCAACAGGTTGATGCACTTTGTAACACTTAGCCACGCGATGACCCGGAAGAACCGAATGAATATTACTGCCTCAGTATCGTATGTGCATCCACGTCTATGCAAGCAAGGTCATTCTCAAGGTGGATTGTCTATCAATCCCGTTTCGGCGGTTCCCCATGTATGACCTGCTCGCCGGCCATGGGCATCGGTTCTCCGGTACCCGCTCTATGATGAGGCTTCTCCTCCATTCCAACCGAAGGTTTGGTGTGCACGCCTAGAAGATGTTTCACATCTCCGTTGGCTAGTACTTGAGCGTACTTGGGTTCGATGTAGAGTGCACTGTCGACCAGTCAACAAAGGGCATGGACGTCAGATATGGAACGTACCTCGACTCAGCGAGCAGCTTCCCATCAAGGTCGTATATGCACCCAGAAACAGTCGCCTTCCTCCCTTTCACCGTGTCCAGTTTGGTCTCGATGAGGATGAACTGACTAGGCGTGAGCTCATGCAAGAACAAAAGGCGGAGATGGGATCACCTGGTCGGCCATCACTGGTGCGCGGTAGTTGACCGTCAACGTGGCCGTCACACCCAGATGTGATGGGAGGTTAAGGAAAGCCTGTTGAGCAAGAATAAGTCATCTTCACAGCAAAGAAGACATAATACGCACCTGTCTCGCCAGCGCCTCATCTAACAACGTCGCCGTCAAACCTCCATGTACGATCCCATCATGTCCACACACACCCCTCCCCACATGGATGAACACCTTTGCCTCCGACTCATCCCTCTTCGCAAACACGAGCGGGGGGATCGCCAGCCTTCCCGCACCTCGCAGAGCTCCCGCGGTGAGGGAGTTGACTGCTCTCTCCCGCGGATAGGTAGCGTACGGCCGTGCTTCGTAGTACTCCGCATCCGGACCGTCAGTCTTCTTGCTCAGCTCGAGGACTTGGGGAAGGGACATGAGCTGCTTCTCGAGTCTCTGGACTTGGGCGAGCGCTTCGGGAGAATCTGGAGGTGGGGGAGCGGCTGCGGGTCGAGGGGATATGAGCCTGATCACCGAAGGAGGGAAGGCACTTCCTAGACCATAGGCGCCTAAGCAAATAAATGCACCGGCAGCTTAGAGCAATGAGATTTCAAGTTATGAAAGGGGATCTGAAATATACGCTCACCAAATGTCCAGAACCCCGCACGCGCGCGGCGGCGAGTCGTCCTGTCAGCCTCAAGCCGCCTCTCAACCTCAGCTTGGAACTGTTTGCCCGCTCCGCCAACATTGGCCATCAACCTCGTCTGTCTATTGAGGCATGTTCTCACCGGCGAGGAGAGGTAGCGCACGCCTCCTCGAATGGGGAACATGGTGGTCGTTGGGGAAAGGATGGTGCAAGCGTCGGTGTCCCGTGTCAGGGATTGCGGCCAAGACCGGTTATCACCAATATTTTAGCTGAGGTAAGCAACTCTTTTCCCGCCGGAGCCGATTCGTCCCGTCCAACGCGTTCACACTCTCATCGAAATCGAAGTCGGCATCCCCAACACCAGCGACAGTGCCAACGATGTTCCGCACATTACTCTCAACAACGCGACACTTTGGCTCTCTCCGATCCTTCCTCCGCCCCTCCCCGCTCTTCCGCCTCCAACCCCCGATCTTCCTGCATGATCATGCGCACGAGCAACCGCAGATGCTCCTCGCACGCGGTATGAAAGTCCGGTCGGCGATGAAGCTGTTTTGCGAAGGATGTAGGATGGTCAAGAGGAAGGGGAGGATATATGTCATTTGTAGCAAGGACCCGAAGCACAAGCAGGTGAGTTTCGTCTAGGAGGCATCGGTTTGGACGAAGCTGAATTTGTGTGCAGCGTCAAGGTTGAAGCTATCAACAAACTATCTTGGATAACCGAAAGAGGGCGTCCATATGTTCATGTGATGGAAATGAGATGTGTCCCTGTTAACATTATCTGAAGATGACACGTCTGGATGGGGAGGGCACTTCGTTGAGGCGGAACTTGGGGAAAAGAGGCATGGTACCGAGAGAATCATGCCACAATTGTATAATTAATTCAGTTGATGTTCACATTATGCATCGGAGTATGCTCTCTGCTCAAAGGAAAGCGAATCTCAGTAATGCATCGAGGTCTTGGCAGCATTTTCTTACATCTTTTGTCACGGGGTGATCAATTTGTGCTTTGATAATGAACGGGACCTTTTCTTCCATTTTGAACGCAACCCTCAGTCCACTCACTCTTGGTTGTCTTCCAACTATCATGTCTACACGCCCCTCTGACAGAGAGCGAGATAATGACCGAAGCTGGTACAGAGATGGTAAACGATACGACGACAAGGATGTCACACGCCTGAAACGAGAGGACGGACATGACACGGACCGAGGTGAGCAGCAAAACAACCCAATCGTGCGATTGTGTGCCTGACTCTTGTGCTGGCTTCTACTCCACTTCGCCATGAACTGATATTCGATGGATACTAAACGTTCATGCTAAGCAGTGACTGGCTCTCAAAGCCGCCGTGCGGATGACGAAGCCCGGAGTACACAGTACGAGAAGGCGTCACGGTCAAACGACGATAATCAGTCTAGTCGTGACGGGAATTCTCGGTATCGCCGCTCTCAAAGAGACGACGAGCGCTTCACGAGCGTTTCTTTATCGAGGGGAGATAAAACAGAGAAATGGGGGCACGATCAGTACGAGCGCGACATGTACCAAGAGGTGCGTCTACAACTTCATAGCTTTGGCCGTTGCTCACGGGGGAAGTATATGCGCTACATTCACGTCCGCTAAACACGAATTTCGGATTTGCAGTCGCGTCGTTCTCTTGCGGCGGTCTCTCATGGCCGTTCAAGCCTAACTATCGAGACGAAGGAAGAGTCAAATTGGTCAGTTAGGCGATCTACGACACCGGGATATAAAGACTCGAAGCGCACGCGCGCTGACACACCAGAGTATGATTATCGCGATCGGAAAGACAAGGTGCTCGATCGCCCGCATACGGTCAGCATCCCTAAGCCGTCAATAGTTCATTCTTCTGATGTTGTAAGGTCTGAACGACTGGGCTGTTCAACCATTCACAGCGGACGCGTGCTATCAGTCCCTCACCACCACCTACGCGCTCCTCCGGGGTGCGCTCGCATGACGACTATGATCGCACGAAACGACGTTCCCGCTCACCACGTCGTCGTGACGACTCTCCTGAGGCACGGTCGCGCAGACGTCGTGATGATAGCGACTCGGAGGACTCTGACAGCTCGGACCCAGAGTACGAGAGACGTCCCAAGTCTTCCGGTGGAAACAAGGATAGCAAGAGAGATAGGGAGCGCCGGAAGGAGAGAGAAAGAGAGAAGAGGAAGGAGAAGAAGAAGGCGAGAAAAGAATCGGACAAGGATGAGAGACGCAGCGTCCTGACGGGCAAGAAGGTGCAGAGTCATCATTGATTTGAATGTGATCCTTGACTCACACTTCTCGTAGATCAAGCTCAAGGTGCACAAGGATGCTGAGGATGTCGAGCGCGACAAGAGACGAGAGAATCTGTTGCAGTTCCTTAATTCGGCGTATGACTGACGTGGTAACTCGGCGGCAGGTTGTATCCAATGTGATGAGTCGCCTATGTCCATATGACTTGCTAATCTATACGGGTAACGTAAACCGGTACCACATCTGTTAATCTTTTTTCTTCGATTGACGGGGTGCCCATGCATTGACATCTGGAGTCATACAACGACAGTGACTGGGTGCCGAGCGACCGCGTCGACCCTGGCGCCACATGGGCTGTTCGTCTTGGCGGTAAACATCGAACTCCTATATAACCAACCAGCTTAGTGGTGCATTTCTTCACTACAGCTATACCCTTCTAATGGCAACCGGATTGTCTAATCTGTTCTATGACTCTGGTGTATATGGCGCCGCTTTGGGTGCGTTCGTCTTATGGCGCGTTCTTGTGAACCCTCGGAGAGTCAAACCGGTTGGTACCTATGCTGCAAAACCTGCAGCCACCTGTTCTAAAAGGCGAACTGTTCATCGGATTAGGATGTTCCCGTCGTTGGCAGTCGAGTTCTCTTTGGCTGGGTGACTGCTGTTAAATCGATACTCGGCAGCAAGCAATTACTGGAGGAAGGTTATCGGAAGGTCAGGCCCTCACCCAGTGGCTTGGTGTTGCCCTAACGCGAATACCTCAGTATAAGGACCGCACCTTTGAGTTTCCTGGATTCTTTGCTCCGACGTACGTTGTCTCCAGCCCGGAACTGATAACGGAAGTCCGTCGAGCTTCGGACAAAGACCTCTCTTTCTGGACGGAGCTTGTGGAGGTACGATTACACTTCTTGTGCGCGCAACATTGGTAAAATTCTTCATATGATAGGCACATGGGATGCGCTATACATTCACTGAAAACATGGCAGACGACTCTTGGCATTTCGCACTCCTACACAGGACGCTGTCATCATCCCACGTAGACGCCCTATTTCCGGACGTTATCGATGAGATGAGATACGCGTTCGACAAGGTATTCGCAGTGCCGGAAAGCGGAGGTAAGTTGCCTCGCATTCCAGAGGTTTCTCTGTATGAGGAACGGATTCTTCAGGAAAGAGCATCAAGTTTTACGATTCGATTCTGGAGCTTGTGGTCCGTATCAACAACAGGATGCTCGTTGGGCTTCCATTATGTGAGAGGGTTTGACCTAGGTATGGATGATAACGGCGTTGATTCTGTCCAGGTCGAAGTGACGACTACACGAAGTACAGCTGCACCTTCTTGAAAAGAACTGCAACATCAGCATTCTATCTCTCCATGCTGCCTGAGCGGCTGAGAGCGTACGTACCTGCTTCTATCAGATCATGGGCATGGATTGATTCCTTGGACAGTCCTGTGGTTTGGCTGTTTGGAATGAGGAAGCCAATCAACGAAGGAGGAAGATACCTTGCTCCTGTCATCGATGAGCGCCGGAAAGCGGGACAGGAGGAAGAAAACCCTGTCTGTCTGCCTCCTTCTTTCAGGACAATGAGTCTAACATCAGAATGCACGATAGAACGATTTCCTACAAGCCATGATCGACAACGCTCCACCAAATTGTCAAGATGCACAAGAGCTCGCTGTACGATTGGTGTCCACGAACCTCGCGAGTACGCACACCACCGCGTTGCCATTTACCAGGGTATTCTATGATCTGCTCGCACATCCGGAATGCCTTGAACCCCTCCGAGAAGAAGCCAAGTCCGCTATCGTGGACTACGGATGGACAAGTGAAGGCATAAGAGCAATGGTCAAATTGGACAGCTTCTTCAAGGAGTCGATGAGGTACCGGGGCATCCAACTAAGTGAGCAAATGTTTTCCTCTCTCGTTTGATCGTGTGATTTACGTGTACTACAGCGAGCTTGAACCGTCATGTTATGCGGCCCACGCTTTTGTCGGATGGCATTCTCCTCCCTGCTGGTGCCAGTCTCGTCGCGGATGCATGGGGAGTCCACCACGACCCGGAGCTGTATCCGGAGCCTGACACCCTGGATCCCTGGCGATTCTCGAGGAAGATTGAGCAAGGTGACAGTGTCGTCCACAACGCTTTCTGGACATCTAGCACCGACTATCTTGTGTGGGGTCACGGGGCACACGCTTGGTCAGTGGCTCCAACATGGAAGACGTTCATTCCTGACATATGAAACAGCGCAGGGAGATTCTTTGCGACCTCGGTTCTCAAAGCAGTCATGGCCTACATTCTATTGACATACGACTTCAAATTGCCCGATGGAGAAAAAGAGCCTAAGCTGGACACGTGCATTTCGGTAGCGGCGTTGCCGCCCATGAAGGGCAAAGTAGAGTTCTGCCGGCGTCAGGCATAGTGCCTATAGAAATTCTCCACGCCTCTCCACTCCTTATAATGTACTACCAGGTAATACCCCCCTGTATTCTTACACAGCTCATGAGCACTCCTCACGAATGATTCGCACCTGATCGCCCTAGCATTCCTGTCCCTTTGGCGGCCTGAGACTGCGACTAGCTTCGGATCCGAAGTGCGTTTGTCAAGCGCTCGAGCCAATGTACCGCGGATTAAACCTATTCCCCCACCTGGTGGCTTGGTTATCGTGTGAAGCTATCTAGCTAAGAAATACGAAATAAACCGCCATGGTCAGAACTGGTGAAGAATGGAAGGAGGTCAATGCATTCGACGCAATTGTCCGGACTAATGCATCTTGTTCTTATCTGCATACCTGCTTACAATAAGCATCCAGACTGTGTCAAAATATCTAACGCCTGCACCGGCGGTTATCAAAGGGTTTGGGAAGTTTGTGTTGCCGGTAATTCTGGAAAGGAAGTGAATGGAACAAGAGCTCGGGCCCGCATGGAAACAGAAGAAGCCAGTAAGCTCCTACTTCCGTCCCTGACCACAATCCTGTCCAGGCTGACTTTGCATGTAGTTCGACTTCCTTCAGTGGATGATGGACGCTGCTGAAGGGGATCAGGCCAAGCCACACGACCTGAACCTGCGGATACTGGGGGTGAACTTCGCCGCTACGCACACTTCTACCATGACATGACATTCACACATGCGTTCTACTAATCCTCAACACGTGCCCGTCCTGCGTGAAGAGGTTGAAGCTGCTGTCGCAGAGTTCGAATGAACGAAAGATGCCGTGAACGCGATGCTGCGGATAGACAGCTTTATCAAGGAGTCAGCAAGAGTTTCTGGGATTGGTAGCGTCACTATGGGGAGGAAGATCATGCGTCCTGTTACATTATCGGACGGGACTCGGGCACCTAAGGGGGGGCCACATAGCAATCAACTTATGGGGGTACACCTTTATGAGAACCCGGAAAAGTTTGACCCATGGAGATTCTCAAGGGGAGTCGAGGCTGGAGAATCTGCTGTAAAGCACGCCTTCACCACGGCAAGTTCCGATTTCTTATTCTGGGGCGGCGGGAGCCATATGTGGTACGTGTCAATGCACAGCACTAAATCCATACTGATAGATGCACAGTGCTGGAAGATACTTTGCATCCCAAGAACTCAAGGCATGATGGCTATCCAATGAGGGTGTTCCTCCACCTGACATCTGGTTTGGAGCAAATTGCATCCCAAACCGCACAGCAACAGTCTTGTTCTGCAAGAGGCAGACTTGAGATATTGGGTCCCGGGACATGGGTGATGACCAAATACTTTGTAAGGCTTTCTTATAGGATACTTAGCGGCATGGATGTTTGGGTATGACATATATTCTTTGCCGGCCCTATTCATCCGTGTGCCAATATCTGTGCATTGTACGATGCATCCCTTGAATGATAATGCTGCGTGGTCAGGTTACGAAGGATTCGAATGCAGCAGTATCTTTCCGCCCCACACGGCATTCTGGATATGGTTACATCTCGAGGTTGACCCGAGAAAAGATATAGAAGCATTAGCGAGTGTGAAAAAAGGCCTATTTTCCGGCTTACTGACCTGGCGACGATCACACATTCGGGAATAAGGATAGTAGAATTGCGGGAAGTGTGACGCCCCTAAGAAAATTTCCATCATTTTGCTCACATGCAGCCATCGGTGAATTTTTCCGAGTCAATTGATACGGTGCTTAATAATCAGAAGTTTGCTCCCCCATACTTCGGATAGTGCTTGAACTGCCTATAGTACCAAGCGCCTAAACATAATTACGGGCGGTTGCCCGAGGTTGTAGACCACCGGAACCGACGAAGCGCAGAAGAAGCAAGAGAAGGACAGAAGATTCGCCCTGAATTCCGCCAGGACGGTTTGAACTCGTCATTCTTGAGAAGGCAAGCGGTCGACAAGCTCCAGTCATTGATATTCTTGCAAGTCAGGTGGTTGCTCTGCAACTTTCACCATGTCGGTCCGATACCGTCTCTTTCATGCGCAGCAGCTCTGGCCCGTCGGCCTACGTCCGAAGACCCTTTATGTCTTGCGACGACCCCGTTCCGTCAAACTGGTTCATCTCTCTCACAGGACATCCTTTTTATCTTTCGTCTCACTCGCGACGGAGGCTTCAAGCATTACTGTTTGAGGTGACTCTGCATCGGTACTCTCATGTTTCTCCTTCTCCTTCTCTTCTCTAGGCGTTTCTGGCCGCGCCGTTGCTCCATCCTGGGACCTTCCGCTGATGCTGCCACTCCGAGTGACGCTCAAATTGTCAGCACGACCTATTGCCCTCGCGTAGGCTGCCATGATTGAGGATCATGGTTCCAGACAACGATGAATATTCTACAAATAGCTTTCAATGACTTCTCCGCTGCCGCTGAGCGATACTCTTCTGCTGCAGTGAACCGAGTGCTCCATGCCCAGCTGCTTGCTACACTACATTGCGAGAAGGAGCGAAATGGCATATACTATATTCGGAAACAATAGCGATGCGTCCGCAATTGATTGCCTTCTAGTCTTCCTTCTGTCATCGACTGCGTGACAGTCACTGGAGCTCGCTCAAAAGACTCGGCTCCTGTCCTTGCCACTGCTAGAACCTGTTCAGGCCTTATCTTCTTTCTACGGCCGCTGCATACCAACAGATTTAGACGGAAAACCCCGAGGAATTTCTGAACGTACAAAAACGTTCTATCCGTTTGAAGTGCAGCATGAGTCGCTGTTGAAGACAGAAGAAATGTTCATGGGAATACTAAGTCTCGTTCTTATACGAGGGCCACCTGCGGCTACCTTATCGCTCTGCGTGTGCCCCCACCTCTCTCCCCTGCCAAATTCTCTATTCGATTGAGCGATAGCTGCCGCATAGCTCTAGCAATGTTCGACCCTCCCAACGTCGACCTCATCACGGTCGGCGCGGTGCTAGTTATCATTGCCCTCCTCCTACAAGTCAGAGGCGCATCCAGTCGCTCGGCAAGTGACTCCCTGATCGTGTCCCGCAGTCAGGACCTAACGTGAACAGAGCGCGCCTGTTCTCGGAAGCAGTGCTCTGTTTGGATACCTGGGAGCGTTCCAGACTCAGGCGTCAACGACCAAATTCCTGAAGAACGGCTATGAAAAAGTATGTGCCTCCCATCCGTCGCTTTATTCAGCCAAAATAACAAGCTACAAGTATAAGAATCGGGCCTTCCAGATCCCGGCCTTGCGCACCTGGATGATTTATGTTGCTGGGGAACAGATCCAAGATCTGTGGAAAGGAAGAGACGACACGTTTTCTTTGAAGGAGGAAGTCAACGAGTCACGTCTTTCTCATTTGCTATAACGGGTATATTGTCACTCGCCAGAACGCGACTCATTGCGAGTTCCACAGTTACTTGAATTACCCTACACGCTTGGTCCGAGCGTCGCGAACGATCATTGGCATTCGTCTGTCATTCGTAGACAGATGACACAGAATCTCTCTGCCAAGTTTCCCGAGCTGTATGACGAGATACGACATGCATTTATGGAAGGACTCTCGTTGCCCGACAGCGGCGGTGCGCAACTCATTTCCTGAAACGCACAAGGGTGCTCAGATATGCATAGAATGGAAGACCGTGAAGGCCTCAGAAGTCTTCACACGTGTTATCTGTCGCGTGAGCAATCGATTGTTTGTAGGCCTCCCCCTTTGTGCGCTTTTCGGCGGCCGATGCGAACTGTTGACTAACATATTGAAAGGCCGTGATGAGAAGTTCACTGAAATCAGTCGCGACTTCACCTTGAATGCAAGCACTGCGGCGTTCGTCATTTCTCTCGTTCCAAGCTTCGTTAAGCCGTAAGTTGGACTGTTCAATGTGACGATACAGATCTTATCCCACTCTTCCCAAGGTTGGTCATGAAATATCTGACTCGTATCCCGGCAACTATTGCCGAATTCGAGAAGCGTTTCATTCCGATCATCGAAGAGCGCCTGCATCAGGAGGAAACACTTCGGGAGTTGTGGCATGACAAGAAGCCAGTGAGTCCAATAAATCTGCCGTTTCCGAGCTAATGGACGGGACTAGTTCGACTTTCTGCAATGGCTCCTGGATGCTGCGAAAGGAGAGAAGAGAGAGCCCAAAGATCTGACCCTCCGCATGATCAATGCTAACTTTACGGCCATCCACACGTCGTCTATGAGCTTCACTCAAGCTTTCTATTGGCTAGCAACACATCCGGAGTACGCGCCAATCCTTCGAGAAGAAGTTGAAGTAACCGTTGCAGAATTCGGATGGACGAAAGATGCCATTAACGCTATGATCAAGGTTGATAGTTTTCTGAAAGAATCAATGCGTATCACCGGCATTGCGGCGTACAGCATGGGCCGAAAGGTCATGCGTGCGACCACCCTGAGCGATGGCACGAAGATACCGAAAGGTGCCCATATCGCTGTCAACCTATGGGGCGTTCATCGCGACCCGACTATCTACGAACGGCCCGATGACTTCGACCCATGGCGTTTCAGCAAGAAAATTGCAGCGGGCGAGAATGCCACGAGGCATGCTCTTACAACCCCCAGTCCCGAATTCCTCTTTTGGGGAGGTGGGGCTCACCCTTGGTAGCTTCGATAGATGAGCGTTGAAACACGAGGCTGATTACGTGGTAGTACTGGGCGTCACTTTGCATCGATGGAGATGAAAGCCATGCTCGCTCACATCGTCACCAATTATGACGTCAAGCTACCGCAAGAGGGTCTCAGGCCGAAAGATATCTGGTTCGGCGCGAGCTGCGTACCTAACCAGTCCGCGACGGTGCTGTTCCGTCTGAGGCAGGAGTAGAGAAGAGAGGAGTTCCCTCGCGTTATGATAACTGGAAGGATGTATGTGTCTCTGGCCTTGATATTTTGGGTGTGATATAGCGTGTCTAACAATACAGAACCTTTCTGCGAATACCCTGAGCTTGTTGCCAGCTGGCAGCTCTTCCGGAAGAATCGTTCACGTGTCTTCTGCCGGCCACCCCCTGACGTGGAAGTGATCATTGCTGCGCTACGGCGCCCGGACCAAATAAGCGGGCCGACCTGCAGAGATCGAAAAGATATAAGGGCATCAACAACAGGCCCATCATGCTGCTCCGTCGACCCTTTCATGATGGGAATTGACGTTGGAATTGCGCTTGCGAGCACTTGTTTCTTGGCGATCCTACTTCAGTTCTGGCTGGCGCCAGCAAGCAAAGCTGTAGGATCTTTGGTGCTACCAAAGAGCGAACTAACGGCTTGCTGTAGCAAGTACCAATTTTGGCCAGCGATGCGCTGTTCGGTTACAGAACCGCATTTCGGACCCTTACATCATATCGAAAAATGATGATTGAGGGTCATACCAAGGCAGGTTCCAATTCCCAACTACGAGCACGTCCCTAATCTAAACGGACGATACAGTTCAAAGGAAAGCCGTTCCAGTTGCCTACATTCAGAAGTTGGATGGTCTTTGTGTCTCGTGAGCTATTCGATGATATCCGGAAGGCACGCGACGAGGGTCTATCTTTCAAGGAACAAGTGAACGAGGTAAGTGAAATCTCCACCATGCAAATGGTGGAATGGCTGAGTGCTGAATGAATTTCCAATAGGCGATCGCGGTGGAGTACACAATTGGCAAGGCGCTTGCAGACGATCCCTGGCACGTGTCTGTCATTCGCAAACAAATGACCCAGAACCTGGGCGCCAAGTTCCCAGAGATCTACGAAGAAATTTCGCAAGCGTTCGCAGATGAGCTGAAGTTTCCCAACAGTGGTGGTGAGATTGCTTCACAATGCGTCGGAGTCCACAGATGCTGAGCTCTGGATGCAGACTGGATGCCGGTGAATGCGTATGAACTCATCCTCCGAGTGGTTTGTCGTACAAGCAATCGGCTCTTCGTCGGATTACCTTTGTGTCGTAACGAGGAATTCACTAAGATGAGCTGTGATTACACCACTACAGTTATTCGCGCTGGGTTCTTCATTGCAATGTTCCCTGGATTCCTGAAACCGTAAGTTGCTCTACCATCGGGCGCATGAATGGTGAAGGGGCTGACTCCGCATAGGCTCGTCGCCCGGTGGCTTTCAGCAGCACCTGCTGCAACAAAAGGCTTTGAACGGTTCCTGCTTCCTGTGATTGAAGAGCGAATTCGGAAGGAAGAGGAACTAGGGGAATCGTGGAATGATCAGAAGCCCGTATGTTGAGCTTTGAGTCCTAAGTTTAGTTTGCTTACGATGTTCCCAGTTTGACTTTTTGCAATGGATGATTGATGCCGCCGATGGAAAGCGCCGAGAACCTAAAGAGCTGAACAAGCGTATGCTGGCAATGAACTTCACCGCTACTCACACATCGTCAATGTCCTTCACCCACGCCTTCTACTGGTTGGCTGCTTATCCACAATATGTTCCCGAACTGCGTCAAGAGATTGAGTTTGCCATAAAGGAACACGGCTGGACACGTGACGCAATCGACAACATGTTCAAGGCGGACAGCTTCATTAAGGAAGCAATGCGTCTGACTGGCTTGGGCGTCATGTCCATGGCACGGAAAAGCATGAGACCGTTCACTCTTTCCGATGGGACCGTCATCCCTACTGGGTCTAGGATAGCTGTCAATGCATGGAGCATACATCATGATCCAGATACATACGAGAAGCCCGAAGAATTCGATCCTTTCCGATTTTCGAGAAGAATCGAGCAAGGTGAGAGCATCATCAAGAACGCATTCACGACTTCCAGTTCGAGTTTCGTCTTCTGGGGAGCAGGAACGCATGTGTGGTACGTTCTCGTGCTCCGTTTATCTCCTAATCCATCGATGCTGAAGACGAAGCAGCGCCGGTCGTTATTTTGCGTCCCAGGAGCTCAAAGCTATGCTTGCCTACGTCGTGATGAACTTTGATGTGAAGATGCCGAACGACGGAGAGCGGCCTGCGGATGTCTGGTTTGGGGCGGCATGTATTCCTGATCCAAAAGCGACGGTTCTGTTCCGCAAACGTGCAGGCTGACATTGAGGGATGGAAGGTCAACTTCGAGGATTTTTGTTTTGCCAAATGCTTTGATCCGTTCAGTTCTTGCCGGCATGTTTGCCAGTTCCTTCTGGCCTATGATATGGTTGCTTGCGTGTTCGTCAGGTCCGCCGATCAGATATAGTTCGTACTGAGAGGCACAGAGATAGTGAAATCCGAGGGAGGAAGTATAGTGTATGTAGGTTGCTTCCGACGAAATGAATCCAGACGTTACATCTTCACGTGCACCATACTTGTCTCCTTCGACCTTCAGCAGCAAAAACATCACGCATTACGTGCGCACAAAAATGTGAATACAAATCTGTTCCCTATACTAAAGGAATTTCAAGCCCGGGATTTGTCTATTCTCTCAATCTGAACATAACCCTCTGCTTCATATCCGGTATGCAGCTATAGGCCATCCACCTGTCCTTCGGCCGCACCCCATCGGCCAAACCTTCAAATTTCACCTCATACAGGGATACGATCACCGCGAGCATGGTCTTCATCTCTTGGCTGGCGAAGTGCCTGCCTGCACAGACATGGGACCCTCCGCCCCAGAAGAGGAACTCGCCGCTTGCTGTAGCGAGGCTGTTTCCAGCCTCGGATTCTCCAGCCTCGATACGCCGAGAATAGCGTAATGGATCGAACTCGAGCGGCTTGGGGAAAATGGTAGGGTCGTGATGTATTCCCCAAAGGTTCATGACCACGCTTGCGCCCTTGGGTACAAAGGTCCCGTCGGAGAGGGTGAGGTCCTTCATCGCCTTTCGGCCCATGGCGGTCGCTCCAATACCTGTGACACGCAAGGACTCCTTGATAAAGCTGTCAATCTTGTGCATCTCCCCGAGAGCGGTCTTGGTCCAACCGTGTTTCGCCACAGCTTCGTCGACGTCTTCACGGAGAATGGATGCACATTCTGGACGTGCGGCGAGCCAATACACCACGTGTGTGAAGGAGAGCGAGGTTGTGTGCGTGGCGGCGAAGTTGACACCAAGCAGACGATTGGTGATATCCTCCGGGGTGGAGTCGTGCTCTTTCGATGCGTCCATAACCCATTGTAATAGGTCGGACTGTGTGATCGACGGATAAGGGCGGAAGAGGTAACCGCGAGACAGCGGTCAGCCACAGGGCAGTTGCATCAAAGGTCATTGACCCACCGGTTTGTCCTTCTCCCACAGTTCTCCCATCTCTTGTTCCTTCCTCCATCTGTCCTTTATCATCGGCACCAGAAACTTCTCGAACCCTTTCCTCGCACGGGGCGCAGCAGTGATCCATCTCCCTACAAGCGGCTTGAGGAAGGTTGGGAAGAGGTTGATGAGGAAGCCGGAGAACATCACGGTGCCTGAGAAGTCGCGCGAGATTTGGGTGTAAACCGGGTCTCGGCAGAGGGGGAGCCCGACGAATAGCCTGTTGGAGGCACGGCAGACGATGTGGATGATGAGATCGTGCGCGTACACGGGTTTCCATTCTTGTAGAAAAGTCAGTGACAGTAGTTCAGCGAGAAGCGGAGTGGAGCGGGGACACGCACCCTTTCCACTCAGCTTTAGTTCATCCTGGAAAGCAGACGTGATCTCGTCGTAGATTTCTGGGAATTTGGCGCCGAGTGCTTGGGTCATTTGCTTGCGCACGACGCTGTTGTGCCATGGGTCGAGGGCGACAGCGCGGTCGATGGTGTACTCGAGGGCGACGGTCTACGATGCCTCAATTGAATGACGTTTCGTGAGAGTTGGCACGAGCGTGGGAATCGGTGATCGTACAGAGAGAAAGCAGCGCGGAGTATTGTGAGCTAGCCACGGGATAGGAAATGCACAAGAGAACCTACGTCTTTCACTTGCTCGGGCATGGACAGCGAATCATCCCGGGCCTTGCGGACGTCATCATACAGCTCTCTTCCAACAAATACGATCCATCCCTTTATGCCAGGGACTTGGAATGCATGTTTATTGAACTTTGTTCCAAATCAGACGATTATCAGGTACTTGGCAGTGTTGGCGCACCTTTGCATATCCTTCTACGAGCATCGGCCTATACTGGGTGAACATCTTGAGCGCCGTCGGGTACCCGAAGAACCAGTCTGACGTGAGAACAGGCGCGCTAGACTTCCGAGACCGCGATTGGACAGCAGAGATGAGGGAAACAATGAGGACGAAAGCGAGTATGACGTCCCATTGTAGGGCCATCTTGTTGAGTTACAGGAAAATGTTTGTCGTCGACTCGCGAGGCGGGAGAGAGAGTGGAAAGCACGGAGGGGATAAACCTCTTATAATCCCAAGGCCGTCATGAGAGACGCTGTGCATCCGAGTCGCTGACGGCGATGCCCCGGCGCCCGACACCCTTGATGCATGCATGAGCTGGGATATGCTTCGCGAACTCCACACGTTGCCCTTCCAAATATTTCCGAGTCGAGACCAACCCCGCGACCAACCCCGCGATGCCACAAACCATGGCCGGCATGGCAAGAGGGCTGTGTGCTCGTGGGAGATGGGATATCGTAAGCCCGACAGTGCCAGCTATCTAATGTTTGTGAGCTGGGGTGGTCAGCGGTGTTCAGATCGCCTGCTGTGTCGAAAGATTCTCAGGACTACTAGCTTGTGGTGGATGAACCAAAACCCAGGTAGGTGAACAACTTCATGCAGATGGAAGATCAACATTCAGAGCCATAAACGGTACGTATTCATCAGTACATACGAGTTTTGGGGCAGGGTCCTCTGGACTCTGGACTCTGGACGGGGTACGTGGCAGTGTTTTTTGCTTACTGTACATATCTTACTCAGCTGACATAATATTATTCCATTGTACTCCTACATTATGTACATTGTCACTGGTTATCTACTATACCTGATGAATGGCACCAGTCATGCTTGTTGTTGTCCAACCAGCTGAGCTTGCTGCCAATCCACTGCCCCTTGCTGACTCCTCCCTCCCTCGACTCCCCTCCCCTCCTCTCCTCATACCAACTCCCCCACCCACCATGTTACTCCTCAACCTCATTTGCCAGCTTTCAGCAGCACATGAGTCCTTGCCACAACTCACCATCCAGCAAGCCCTCTTCTTCATCACCCTCTGCCAGCACCTCCAAACATGCATTGCCTGGCAAGAAATCCCTGGCATCAAACACCTCAACAC